AACTCCAGATCTGTGACTTGAGCTTCATATTTCCTCAGGAAAAAACAAGAGAACAGTGGGAATAAGCGGTAAAAGAGCGTGGGAATCGCCCAATGAAAAACATGACAACAAAGATAGAGAGTCACCTTAGGGGACAGAACCAGTAAACAGCTTTCAACAGCTAATCGGACAGTCACGAAGCAACAGCGCAGCAGGATCTGTCAAGCTCTTCTTAAAAATGACTTTTATTCGTGTTCTGTAGGATGCAAGTCTCACACATTCTGCCCTTTGATAACAACAATTTTGAAAAGAAAAACAAAAATTGCTGCAATTAAATGACAGCTACCGGATGGTTACTGTAAGTGTTATTAAACGTATCTGTGTTCATCAAATGTTTGCAGACAATCCAGTGTTAATCGCTGCGACATCACAATAACCGGTTGTAACTGTCGCTGGGATAGTTTGATGATCAACGAAGTGCCGTTTTGTCCAGTTCTTCAAATTTCTAACTATCGCGGAAATCACTGATCTTGGAATACTGTAAATTCTCGAATAATAGTTCAGATATATTGAATTGAGCATTCAAAAAAGATTTTAAAAATATTTAGCAAAACAATATCACAACACTGCCCTTTACCGCAGATTTGGTTTGAGAATAAGCTCGGAGAGTCATGGTGGAAGCTACTCAGTAAGTCGGAATAATTAATAGTAAAAGCCACGTTTACAGGAATAGGCTCCTTGAAGGAACTAGGCGTAAGATAGTTTGGATAACAAACGCGAACATTAAATTCATGTTCAAACTTCTACCGTAACATCAGTCGTCAATTAATGTGTCAACATCATGCTGGATGATTACGGACAACTAATTCATTTTACGACACAGCACCAATTCGATGCTCGTCTCTGCTCTCTCACTGAAACAGAATCGAAAAGACGTTATGTGAGAAGACGTCCACAGTAGTCAGATTTTAACGTTCTGTGAACGTGTGGTACAGTAACACCGCTATACCCCACGGGTGTGGGTACCTTCACACAACTCTGAATGGACGCGCGATTGAATGAGTAAGGCCGTTTGGTGCTAATTATTTACCCTACTTCAAATTTGTGCCCCAATGATAGGCGCCAGTGGCTGCTTTCATAGTCCGCGAGCACGCGAGCCGGCCTGGGGACTACTCGTCCGGCGGTATTGACCGAAATTCAGTTGCAAACAAGGGGCAAGCGCGGCTCCCGGTCTCTCGCGGGCCGGACGGCGGAAGCAGCCAGAGTCGTTAAGTCACTGTGGGTTCCGCTGCGATGTTTGCTGCGTCTATTCAGAATTGGGTGAATGTTTCATCCCCCATGCTGCACTCCCACTCCTTGGGTTTCACACAAAAGTTCTCAGCTAGCTAGGCTTGCTAACAAACACTTCCACTGCCCAACAACGAGTGCATCAGTGGACTCCGCAACTAGTTTGTCGGTGTGGCATGTCTGTCGCTTCCTGATTGCATTCCACGGAAAGGGCACAGTAAATCGGCAGTGTATGCTTATTAACGATTCGACTGTTCAGAATCCAGAGTGAAAGCTGTTCATCTTGGAAAATTCTTGTCTAGTTATTTCCTCTTCGCTAGTTCCAATATCCATGAGGATCTAGGATTCCCTTCAGCAATAGCGATAATTCATTCTGTCTGTCAAAGGGTGGCTGACGCTAAGTGGCAGCTTCCAGACTAGCCCTATAAATCGCCGTTTACTCTAAAGCAGGTATATACGCAAGTTCGGGGACGGTGACGTCGATCGATGAACGCAGAATTGGCTTCGGTGGAGAGTCCATCCGTTTGCAGCATCGCTCTTGGTCAGAGGGTCCCTGCCTCACACCACTCGCGACTTTCATGTTGATCCCCCATATCATGGTTCAGGACTGAAAACAAAGTCATTGGGGATGAGCTAAAAGAAGCCGACATAGAGCGCCCTCGTCTTCGTCCATCAATGAACCTGCATCTTTTGCCTTCTCGACCTCACGTAAGTCGTATCTAGTGATAAGATACCGTGATGCCCATTTTGACAGAGCTCGAACCTGCTTCAAAAACTGAGTGAAACGACTGTGGCCGACTGCGGAACAGCTCGAGGAATATCGATGATGATGATGATTCGGAATCAGTTCTCCTAACTTTGGTGAGTAAATACCAATTATTTTAATCCTTTTCACACATTACAAATTTTCCACTCACTTTCGTAAATGCATGCTTATTCAAAGTCCGGTCAGAGCGTCAAGCCCTGAAGACATACATATGGTATAACAAAGCTATTTTCATATCTTTTCATCCCCTTTCATTCTTCAGTCATTTTCAGTTAAAGCCTTTGGCGAACTCATACCCC